TCTACTGAACATTAATTATACTTATATATATATAAAAATGCCAGTAGTTAGTATTTTAAGTGTAAACAGTCTTGACTTAACATGGGCAAACATTGAATTAATGCCATGATCCAATTACTTTCCCTATAATTATATCATTACAGAAAGTTTTTGCTACAAAAACAAACGATCGAGGGTTTAAGACGTGGGTTTTGACCCCTCCAACGACCTGCCTAACTTGACAAGCTACCATGGAATGAGGCACTAATCTTATCCATGATATTATTCTATGGAGGTTAGAGGTAAAGTGTGAGGACTACTCGGTGCTGCACTTACTAGATGAAACTGTATCTTGTGCTCAAACAGAGAGCAATCCTGGGACTTGATGACTTCGCTAGTAACTGGATATACTCCCTGTTCTGTGGGATTGAAATCCAAGAACAGATTATGAGGATACAGCTTATCATTAATTCCCTAATTGTAATGAATATTGCTCTGCTTTCGACTAAATTAGCTTTGAGAATTTTAAATTATAAGGCTAGACGTGAAATTAACATTGATAAATCTTCAGGGGCAACATCAAAGTTTAATATCCCAGATTATGGGTTCTATTTTCTTTCTTTAATATTGGAGAATTTGGTGGAATTAATGCGTAGGCCAACTTTAGCGAACAAAAATTAAGCAATCTCAATGCTAGTTTAGTCAAAAGCAAGACGCTTTTTTAATAAAATAATAAAATCTCATTTATTAAAGGTAGAAACATGGAGAAATTGTCCTATTTTATAAATTTTTATATATAAAAAATCATATTCCCATTTAAGGGAATAATTTTTTTATATAAATTTCGTTGGACTGAAACAGTTTTCTGATAATTTTAATTTCTTTAGTATATTTTTTCATCACAAATGAAAACTGTCCGATTTTATAAATTATAAACAAAGCTTATCCATTTTTTTCTAATCTAATTTAGTATTATAAGGTAAATTAATTACAGATTTTAAATTTGGACAGTATAATAATAATATTATTAACACATTAATCTCATAATCTGCTTTGATAAAAATTAATTTGAACTGTTGTTGTTAAACTTGGTTCGGTCTAGAATAGTTGTTTTATAAAAAAAATTAATAAAGAGAGAAGTTAATTAAATATGACTCCATCAAGAATTCAAGTTTATTTATAATATAAGTATTGATATTATAATTTTTATAAGGTTAATTTGTTAACGTGAAAGTAAATACAATCCCATCATTTTATAAATTATAAAATATACACATAATTAATCGAGTTCGAAGCCAGATGAGAAATCCTAGCATCTGATTTGAATCATTTCACACAGTATAATAAATTTACATTAAGAGTTCAATGTGTGCGTGTATATATATTATTTTTATATTTATTTTTGTGTTTTAAAAATATTTTTGAAAGAAATTAAAAAATTTTATTTGTTTTAAATTATTATTATTATTTTATCTTTTCAAATCATTTTAATATATTAATATTAAAAATAATTTTTTAAAATATAAAAAAATATTATTTTAATATATTGGCACATAAACACTACTCCAAACATAAAATCTAAGAACAGTTCCTCGAGGCAAATCAAGGTGTGAACATGGCCGGATATTGCTTGTAAACCTTATAAGCAACTTGATGTATACATTATCCACTGGGCTTATGGTTTCAAAAGTGGGTCAAAAAATGAATAATATATAAGATAAGGTGATGATTGTGTGAATAAAATAGCATGGGATTTGAAATGACGTGTCACCTTTGAGGTTGGTCAATGAAACATGATGGAAATTCAATTGGGACTTCCAGAAGTTTTTGAAAGTCTCTGGAACTTCAAACTTCATATCAAAAACTTTGGTCAAAAAGCTCAATTTTATGGGTAATGGGTGATGCATGAAAGTTAAGTGGAAGCTTTGCTTTTCCTTTCAAGGATTTCATTAACAACTTCTCCCTTTCATTCATGAGGAAGTCCTTTCTTAATATAAAGTGAAGTCTTTTTTTTAAAAAAAAAAAAAAAACTCATTTTATGTTATTTTATTTAGGTAGTTTGTTCATGATTTTATTTCTTTAATTTCTGAAATATAAACGTGTGACTTGCTCTAATGGGTCTTGTTGATGGCACGAGGATTTGGGTTTGTTGTCTTATTTTGATGAAGATGGTTTTTTATTGGGTCAAATATTTATTCTATTCTAGTATCTTGAATACACAATATATGAAATTGATGATGAAATATTGGAGTCATGATTCATAATTAATTTAATATTTAAAAATAAAAAAATATTATAAACTCTAAATTGAATGATTTTTCCTTCTTTCTAGCTCTTTATCTAGCTATGCCTATTTTTCCAAAGGATATTAGTTTTTTGAATTTTTAGTCATAATAAGTAATAATACTTCCAAAGGATATTAGTTTTTTGAATTTTTTGTCATAAGAGTTGTTACCCATAGAATTCTTGCTGGTTATAACCTAGTACCGTCGCATTATTTGGCTAAGGTTGTCTTGTCAAAAAGCCAATCCAAATTCATTTGGTAACAAAAGCTGACCCGTAAGGTTCCCACAGTTCTCAAATCTACAAGATCAAAAGCTAGAAATGATGAGAAGCTTCGTTTCAAAGCTCCTGTCCGAACCTCAGTCATGATTTACAGTCTTTTTTAAATGTTTTTTTTTGTTTGAATATTTATTAAAATAATATATACTTTCATGGTAACTCCAGTCACTCTCAGGGTCATTCTGTATTCCAGCACACTAATTTGATCGTTTATTAATTTTTCAGGGTAGAAATATTTATGTTTGGATGTTTGTGAACATGTTTGAATGTGCATGTGGCATTATTTGAATTTGTTGAGGACATGTTTGAAATCTTTATTGCTACCTTATTTTCAATGAATTTGTTTTTTAAAAATAATACGGTGGAAATATTTTTATTAAAAAAATAAAGAAATCATATTGAGTATTTTGATTTTTATCAAAGAATCAATTCATTAGTAGAATGATCCTAAAAAGGTTTTGTCATTTGGATGTTGATGCTTTGGTTTTTTTTATTTAAAAAAAAAAGTAAAAATAAAAAATGTTTCCATTTTATTATAAATATAATAAAAATGTTTCCATTTTCTTATAATTATTTTCTGTTTTTCTTAAAATATATCTTTTTTTAATATAAATATGAATTTATGAGTTAAAAGTACCATTGGTAATATCCTCTTAATTTAATTTTTCCTTATTAAATAAACCACAATCTTATCCATAGAGTTGCCTTCGAGGTAACAACATCTTATTTAAATATATATATGCATGCAAGCACATATTTCATGATATTGTTTGGTCTTTATTTGTAATTTTATTGGTAATTCTATAAAATAATTAACTTGAACACGTTTTATGATCCATAAGTTGAAGAAGAAAAATTATAAAGCTCTAGGCAATGAACACGTTCCTAGTTTTTTTATTAGAAGAAGAAAAATAAAAATAAGTAAGAAAATCAGAGTTGGATAATAAAAAAATGTTCTAGACCTTTATTGATGTAATCAAACCTATATTAATTTAAAAAAATCTAAACAATCATATGGGAATTTATCACAAATAAATTACGCGGATTGATTTATAGATGTTTTTATGGATTATTGAAATCTTGATTGAACTATTTTTTATGTTTTTGAATTTTATATTTTATTTTGGATTTTCTATTATTTTTTATATTTTATTATATTGAATTTATTATATAGTTGAGATTGATTTTCTGGCCTATTTAAAGGAATTATAAAATTTTCCCGCTAAAAAACCATCCCATTTAAAAATCACCACATCCAAAAATTATACCAGGCTAGCTTAGATTTTACAATGGTTAATTTTATCCTCCTACTAAATATAGCCTAATTAATATATTTTTTTTCTAGATAGAAATTGTCTTTTAGATTGGTTTAATTTCCTTGATGGTATCACAATTAAGTTTTGGTGTTAGAACATTATTTAACGGAGCCGTGCGTGTTGTATTTTCATTGGTCAGCCCCTGAAGAAAAATCAATACATAATTTCTCAAGTTTTTATTATTGCTTTTTTTTACAATTTTTTTTAGATTTATGCTTTATGTTAATGTTTTTTTTACTGCATTACTTACATGCTTTATTTATATTTTAAATAATTACTTTAAAATCTTTTAATTTATTTAATTTTTTTTCTCTTCCATGCAACTTAATGTTTTCTTTTAGTTTTTCTAGCTCTACACTGTGTAAACTCTCTATAATTTCCTGCGCAATTGTCACTTTCATTTTTCAATTGAGGTATACAAATAAATCTTGCTATATTACTACTACAAAATATTTATATTTATTTTTTAATTGAAGTTAAATATAAAATAAATACCTTAGTTTTCTCAATGCTCCATTTATAAAATAAAATAAATACTTGAGATAAATAATATTTTTAATTGTTAATTGAAAAGCACTTGTCTAAGGTATAATATTTTTATATAAACTATGCATTTCACTTTATTTTGAGAATGTATATTTTGTTGAATATATATGAACTAAGGTATTTGTTGCAAAATGTAACTAATGTTAATAGAAAATAAATAATTGTGCCAAAATGGTTCTCTCTTTTGATTCCATTTAGGTAGCATTTTGCAAAAGCTGTTTAATAAAAAATTGTGCCAAAGTATTTTTTAAGAAATAAAAAATATTTTAATATATTTCTAAGAAAAAATATTAAAAAAATATAAAACGCTATTTATGAAATTAATTAATTGATGGACGAACTCTCCAAGGAATTATTTGCAGTCCAGAAATATGAAGATGAAGTACTCAAGGTTCTATATTCCTCCTCAAGGTTCAAATGGTTGAACCTTCATCCAAAAACTCCAAAAAAAAAAAACCCTATTCTGCTTCAAGCTCAAGAACAAGGACTAAATTGTCGAAGTAAAAAGATGAGGTACCAAGAGAGACTGATAACCCTCATGAGATAGATACATTTTTTTTGCAGAAAGAGTGTGGAGACAGAGATTGCACCGAGTCATTTTCTTCAAGAGTGTAATTGCAATTCACATAAACAACAAAATACTATGCGCAGGTTCGCAGTCGCAACAATGCTTATTTCAACACCGACAGATATAAGTACTTTCAGGGTTTTGTTGATGTCGAAATTAAAAATTTAGATGCTTTATTAGATAACAATACTAAGTCTTGATGATTAAATTATCACAATTCAAATCTTATAGCGTCGCCAAAAGAGTTCTTTGACAGCCTTCAGGTTGCCAAGAAGGAAAATTTACTGAATTTTTAACGGTCTCTGATGACCATATGAAATGAACAGGGTAATTTCAGTGTGTTCTCATTTTCAAAATCACAACCTGAAACGATCAAGTGTAGGGATGCCACCATCACGTTCTTTCCACCTGTATTGAACAGTGTAGTCTTTCAGCGGAACCTCCCTGTGCAGGGGATTTTCATCTGATATCAGCTCTTTTAACGGAGCACAAATCCAGTCATAGATTGCGAAGAAGCTCGCAACTGATATTCTTGGACCGATGTGATTAGCCTGCACCCTGTGCTCAGAAATCTGGAACTTGCTGTTTCAATAACATAACTTGTCAGAGCAAACAAATCAAGTTGAATAATGTTTGGCAAAAAAATCATCAGCATAAATAGGTCACAAAATGTTCCAGGATTTGTAAAGTAGTGCCACCGTACGGTTCTTACCTGTAGTAAATCACCGATGATAACTACAAAAGCTCCAGCAATTGGAGGGGCATCAACCCAGTGATCTTGGTGAAATACATGGAGGCCGCCAATATGGTCTTGCAAAAGGGTAGTCAAGAAGTCAGGATCATTATGGGGAGCCCCTTAGCACACCCAATTTCAGTCAGATGATTACACTCGAGTCCAAGAGCTTCAGATAGTAATTCAAGTAGAGTTCCTCCCAACCTCTTTATATATGCTGAATATTTGATTGCTATCTCCCTGCAATAAGTGAAATTGAACAGCTTCAAAACCAAAATCAACAGAAGTTTCATAAGCATTCGTACACTAGAGTTAGTCAGCTTCATTTCTTCAGCCTTGGACTTTTTTGCTCTGTTCCAATACAGGGGAGTTGTTCTTGCTGGTGCTAATATTTATTACAGAAGCTGGTGCATTTACATAAAACATAGTGACAAGTAATACTTGTTACTATAAATTTATTGCCTAAAAACTTCAGAAACATAGCCGGCAGAATTTAACACAGTAACTGTTGTACCTAAACAAATGCAGCTTGTTTTAAGAGGCTATCCGAATTTGATGAGGTAGAGATTTATGTAGGATTGCAAATTGAACTTGTAGGTTTATGATGCTGGGTAAGAGTGAGATCTAACATCATATAAACAAGCTTCACCTGTTACATCGACATTCCGAGAAGCAGCATGCAGACTCTACTGCAGGTTGGCAGTCAGGACACTGGACTGGCATGACTACAGACTAATGGATAAAATGATGGCAAATTCTAGATCAATGTGGGTTATCAAATATGAGCACCACCCAAAATACTTTTTCATCAATAAGCTGCACTGTATAAAAAGAATGTGCACTTTTTTCTGCCACAGGAAATGAATTTTCGTGGAGATCTTGGAATACCATGAAGTATTCTTCAGCTGATAGTCTCCACAGTCAAAATCAAAATTATGCAGAAAAAGATTTGACTAGAACGAAATGGGAGTTTTTAATTAAAGTATCTATGTCATAACCGTGGATTAAAATGAGTTGAAGAAATAAGAAAAAAGAATCACCTGCAGACCTCTGGATATTCTTCAGAATCTGGAGCGTCGGGGGCCATGCGAAAATATCCCTCCAGTTTGCTGCTTTTGCCTTCTGAAGGAGAGAATTGCTAGTGTAAGTCACCTTCTTCTTCGTGTCCCTTGTATAATATTCCATTTTCACTTCATTCTTTTCTTCATGAAATCCCTTGACTCCCTGAACCATTCCCTCCATGACATTTTTTGAAATTTCTCTGAAGCATTGCACATCTGTTCAACAATTTCTCTACGTCGAACATCATCTTCTTCAGGTCTATGACAGGAATATGAAAATGGGCTGATTTGGTTGGCAAGAGACTTCACTTTCTGGTACCACCAAGAAGGGAGGAGTTTTAATTATCCCAGCATCTAAAAGTCCCTTGACACCGGATTTAGATTCGTCAAAAGCCTGCAATTCTTTTTCTATATCATAGACAGATCCATTTTGAACCAAGTCTGACTGCATTTTGTCATGTTTCAAAGGAGAAGAGACCTCTAACGGAAAAGAAAAAAAGTCGACACAAACAAAAGGAATAAACAATAAATCAATCTTCCAATTGGATGACAAGAGGTTTGAGTTAGATTCCCAACCTAAAACTATGAGTTGTTACTGAATGCTGCCGGCTTGCCTCCATCAAAAACAGTTAAATAACTCTTGTTGAGGTTGGAAGTCAATTGTCCAAATAATACTTCTCATGATCTGCTCTCTTTAAAATTCCTTTCATATGCTGACATTTCAGCCTGAAAAAAATGTCTGTTTCTTCAAGGGATTTATCCTCAAGTAAGCCTATCTAAAAGCTGTAAAAAAAGTGCATGTTATCATAAAGTTGCTATCAAAATCTCTGAAGTCCATTGGTAAACTCTGGGAGGCAGGCAGACTATAAAATATGTGTCGGAAAAGCCAATCTGGATTTTTGGGAAACTCTGGGAGGCAGGCTATCCATAAAATATGTGTCAGAAAAGCCAATCTGGATTTTTGGGATGCTGCAAGTCAGTGAATGAAGAACTTCATTATGAAATGATAGAAGGCGAAATTTAAGGCTTGAGAGATGATTTCAAGGCATGAGAGGATTCCATGGAATGGCTGAAGTAAGCTTGACATTCATTTCTCCATAACCTCCTTTCTAGAAATGCCCCCTGTTCATATCTCGTCGCTGTTTTGTGATAGAACGAAACTCGTTAAAAACTTGAACTGGCTGTTTGTGTTATCGATAAAGCATGTACGATCAGCTTCAGTTTCTAACACATCATTTATTAAATCTTAAAAGTTATCAAAAATGGTGAACAGATCACTTGAATTTTGATTTAATAAATCAGGTTCATACTTGGGCATAATGAGGACTGGAAGGGAACAACACTGTCCAGTATTTCCTGAAATGGTAGGTTAAGGTCACTTCCTACTGAGATATGATTAAAAGTTGAGGGATTGGTGATGTATAAAAGCAAGCATTGCATTATAAAATGAATTAGAATACTGAATCAAAGCATATCTGCCTGTCAGATTGTTCCAAGATGGACCTGAGATCTCAGGGAAGGATATTTTCAATCTTGGAAACATGAGATACGCTCACTTAAGACAGGAGGCAATTTCAGCAAGCATTCACAAAAGCGCAGATATCTGTAGCTGCTGTACCATGCAAACTAGTGATCAATTCTCTGAAAGAAAAACCGGGAGCAGGCTCTCAATATGCAAACAATGATGATTCAAATACCAACAAGAAGAACAAAGTTTTGGCAATCTTCAAAACAAACAGATAGAAAAAGGAGATGTAGATGCCCTCAGATTTCTGCTCAGGCAAACTTGGGTAATGACTAAATTTGGTGCTACTTTTGAATAACCAAATAAGTAACAAATGCAACTAATATGTTCTCGTTCCAAGTTCATAACCAAATAGAGTACCAGAGGAAGCTTCAGTGATTTCCATTTCACAGCATGAAGTGACCAAGTGCAAGGGAGCCACAAGTCCTTTCCAAGAAGGTTAAGATTTTGTTATGAGTAAGCTTGTCACGTATATTCTTGGACCAGTTAAGGTGACTAGCCATCACCGTGTGCTCAGTGTTCTTGAACTGATTGTCTTGGGTCATTCAATTTCTTGATTTCTTCCTTTTAGTGATTAGAAAATATTCTAGAAAATAGAATTTGCTTTGTCAGATCAGTTATTTAGCTGTCCTTGGCAGAGTATAATAGCCTATCAATTTATTACTTCATGATTTAGCTAAAAAGACAAGAATAAGATCATGTAGATAGGTGCGTAGCTGCCACTAACATACAACACAGAGTAATCTGATATGCTAAATGGTTCGGTTTCTCAATTGCATCACTGAAATTAACTGAAACAACAAAAATCAAGCATAAATTCTTGACTGCAACACATAAATACGCATTCAATGCTTATCAAACACCACCAGAAACTTAAATATTACGAATTCCCCGTGCAGGGGCTGCTGAGATGTAAAATTTTGGAATGACTGAAATGGAGTGAGCAAGATGACTTCAACGTACTCTAGTTTCCAAGATCACAGCCTGAAACGATCAAGTGTGGTCATTCCTCCATCTTGTTCTTTCCACGTGTATTGAGTAATGTATTCCATGAGAGGGACTTCCTTGTACAACGGAGGATTTTCATCCGATAGCAACTCTTTTATTGGACCACACATCCTGTCATAAATAGCAAAGAAGCTGGCCACTGATATTCTTGGGCCATTGTGATTAGCCAGCACCCTGTGCTCAACGCTCTTGAACTTCCCATTTGATATAAGCTGTTTCGATACAATAATTTGTCAATTGCAGACAAAGGTGAAAAAATGTATGTGAAAGAGATCACAAGAACAAGGTACTAACCTGTAGAAGGTCACCAGCGTTAATTACAAAAGCATCTGGAATTGGAGGGACATTAATCCATTGATTCTGATGAAAAACTTGTAGACCACCAATATGGTCTTGCATAAGGATAGTCAAGAAGTCAGGATCAGTATGCGGTTTGCTTCCCAGAGTTCGGTTGGGCTCAGGGCACGGTGGATAGTAATGGCACATAATCTTGAGCCCTTTAGCGCACCCAAACTCAATCAGATAATTAGGATTGAGTCCAAGAGCCTCCGATACTAATTTAAGAAGGGTATCCCCTAAGCCCCTTATATATGCCGAATACTTGATTGTTGTCTCCCTGCAACATGTGAAACTAGTTCAGAACTGTATCCCAACATCATGCATCCCAAGATATCTTTCTATTTAGTGTGTTTGACTGCGTGGTAAGAAAACAGAATGCTCTTATATGTTACTTTTATCAGAATTCATGCATTTTATAGCAATCACTGAGCCTACAAAGGATATACTACGAATTAACTTGGAGTTTAATCAATTTCTTCTTTTGCTGGGATAATTGGCATCTTATAGGCTCTCCCTTTCAACCCTTCAGTTGGAGTTGCTTATGATGCAGCCGTTTCTTTAAATGCAAGTATGATGTTTCAGGAGTTCTTGGTGAAAGGAGTAAGAACTTGATTTTTCCAAGAGATTTCTGCAAAAGAAATGCCCGTCTTCTCTCCTTTGATTTGTTTGGAAGGTTCAGAACGTTACATCGCAATGAATCACTAGTGTCAAAAAGTACTAAGTATTCTAGTAACTACTAATTATGAATAAGAGTGCTACTCTAAAACTTCATAGCAGGGTAACTGATTACGACTCCACCTTAAATTAAAAAAAAAAAAAAAAAAAGTAGTTACCTGCAGACAACTGGAAGTTCTTCAGGACGTGGAGAATCAGGAGCCATTCGAAAATACAAGGTATCCTTCCAATCCGCTGCTTTTGTCTTATGAATAAGAGCGTTGCTAGTGTAAGTCACCTTCTTCTTCACATCCCTCGTATAATATTCCCTTTTGACTTCATTTTTTCCCTCATGAAATCCCTTCACTCCTTCAATCATTCCCTCCGTAATATCCTTTGATACACCATGGTTCACAACCTGGAAGAAACCCCATATCTCTAAAGCACTTCGTATTTCCTTGATGACCTTTTCGTGTCGAACAGGATCATCACGGATGTCT